CGGCGTGCTTTGTGAAGGAAGCCAGACACCGTTTTCAGAGGGTTTGCTGAGGTCTCACCTACTGACATCATGCCCCAAATATCCCTCCCTCAGGAGGCCCGGGGAGACAGACCTGGACCCGGCCCAGACACAGTCCCTGGAGTGAGGACAGTCTCATGCTCAAACTCCTCCCCAGGGCAGTGTGACCCAGTGGCTACGGCCCTGGACTGGTCCCAGGGGGCTTGGGGCAAGCCATCTCATCTCTGGGTTTTACCTTCCTCATCTCTTCAGTGGATAGTATGCACCTTACCTATCTCACAGAGCAATTAAGAGGGTTCAACCGGAAGCAACCTAATATGTGGGAATAGCTTCCTATCAAGAAATGATGAGTGCTAGGTCCAACTCTGCCACTAACTCGCTGTGTGTCTTTAGGAAAGTCTCTGGCCGACTCTGAGCTCAGCTGTGAACTAAAAAGGCAACATCAGATCATCACTCAGTCCCCTCCCGGCCCTATTATTCTTTGATTCCGTAGTCTATACGAGAGCCCAAAAGAAGTTTATCTCTGGGGGAACACATTGTTGTCAACTGCAAATTGTTATTCGCATGCATGGCGTATGGCATTCTCTCTGGTCTTGGGTAGAAAGGTATGTAAAATGGCTGTGAGCGTGGGAGATACAGAACTCCAAAAAGGCGTGTTCCCCGGAGTCTGTCTGAGCTTCCTTGTAGCTCCGATAAAGCTGTCTGCTGGTTATAGGAAGGTCTGCCAGCAGTGACAGCTATTTATGAAATAATTTCGTTTGGGTGGTGTGAAAGCTCCTGGTGGAAACCACAATCGCACACACATCCTGTTTGCATTTCTCTGGGCACTGCCGGCGGCTCCATCATGGCCCTGCTCGCTCAGAGGAGTGTGCAGGGGCTGGAGAAGCCAACTGAGCACCAGCCTCCTCCCTCTGCAGTCCGGAAAGAGGTACCACTGCTCCTGAGAGGGAAGCAGGACCGAGGGGACCGATGTAGGATCCTGATCAATGCTAGTTCCTGTGCCTGGATTCATGGCTCGTAGTGGCCAGAGACACAGATCCAAGCAGAGACACAGAAAAGTGGTAGAGAAGGGAAAGTAGGTAAAAGGCCAGGCATGGAAAAGGCATCCCCTTCGCACAGCCCTGGAGCAGCACCCTCTCTCACCTCCACCTTGAATCATCACTCCCGCAGCATCTCCGATGGAATCCCTTCTGATGGTTCTTTCAGAGGCTCAGCAGTCTCATGCTCAAACTCCCAGCACGGTGCCAAGGGTTAGACACACCTTGCCCAGCTCCTTTGACCTTCTCAGCTGCCTTCTGATCGCAAGGAAACAAGCTCAGAGGACTTAAAAGAGACTTGCCCAACGTCAAAGAGCTCCTACTTGGGCCCAGAGAAGGCTCAGGCTCCACACAGTGGCTCAGACACTAAGTTCCCAGGCTTCTTGGTCCCATTTCCTCTTTTCCTATCCTGAGGCCCCAGCACCTAAATCGGGATAACAGAGACGGGGGAGGAGTGAGGAGGGAGTGGCGTGGCTTGGCTGGCAGTGGTCAGCTGCCCACATAACCAGTCTAAGACCAGCTCACAGGGCCCTCTTCCGACCTCCCCTTGTCTCTGCCAGGAGGATTACGGACAGGTCTGTGTGGGGAGGTTAGGGGGCTGTTTTCTGAGATCCCTCAGGGCACCTGTGTACCCATAAGCAGGCCTGGGAGGAGGGGTCATGGGGTGTGGGCATCAACCCAGGATGAGTCCCCTGAGAGCCCTGGAGGCAGAGACCAGCAGAGGAAAGAGGAAGAACCAGATGCCAGGATTGGGGACCTCAGCACCAGTCAGGTGGATCTGGGTTCGAATCTCCGTTCTGCCACCTAAAAGCTGCCCAGAACGTGGGGCAAGGTCTGAGGCCTCCCCGAGGGTGATGCTTCCTCCTCTCTATACTGAAACCTGCCTCCTATGTGCCACGGACCGTAGCAGCGAGAAAAGACAGTTCCATCCCTGAGGAGCCAGAGCTAGTAATCAAATTATCATAGGGCCATGTGGCGGGGAGAGGGGATGATAACAGGGCCTCCTCCTAAGGGTGATGCGTGGAGTTGAAAAATTGGAAGTAAACTTTGTGTTTTTCCGGTGCTTTAAAGTTCCAAAAACATTTTCCACGCCTTAGCTCGTCCGATCTTCCCAGTCACCTGGCAGGTGAGTGCTTTATTCCCCCCGATTCCTGGATGAGGTGACCGAAGCTCAGGGAGGCTGAGGGACTCCCTCAGAGGCTCCGGCAAGGAGATCGGGGCTTTGCATCACCCGGTGTTAAGGTCAGGCAGGCCTGGAGGACGCTGAGCCCGGGACGGAGCGAGCGGGTGGGCAGTGAGCCTCTCGGGGGCCGCCCCTCCGCTGCGTGCCCGCCCGCCCTCCCGGGCCAAGGCCGAGGGCTCCCAGGGGACCGGCGGGGCCGCGCTCCTTCCCCTCCAGCCCACGCGCCGGCTTCCGGCGGGGTCTGGGCCGCCTCCTCCCCCGGAGCCCGGAGCCCGAGGCCCCTCCAGACGGACCTCCCTGCGGAGAGCGCACCCCCTGCCTGCGCCCCCGCGCCCCGCAGGCCGCCCGCCGGCTCCCGCGCCAGGATCCCCAGCGCACGGGCATCGGGACATCGGGGAACCTCGGGGTGGCCCCTCCTCCGCCTTCTCAGGACGCCGGCAGCGCCCCCTCCTCTTCCCGCCCCAGGGCGCAGGGTGAGGGGTGCGACGCCCAAATCGCTCCACCCGGCGCCTCCCTGCGCCCCGGGCCGCCACACCCCGCTCCCCGCCGAGTAACCAGGGGGTGGAGGACCGGATCCTGAAACACGCGGACTGAATGGAGAGCAGGGGAAGGGAACTAGCAAGCGGGGTGACAGGGTCTCCAGGGCCCCAACTCTGCGGGGTTCGGAGGGTGCTGCTTGGCCCAGAGGCTGGGCGGCCTCCACGGTCGGTCGGTCAGTTTGGACTCGGCCTCCGAGAGCAGATAACCCCCCACCACACGCACCGCCAGGCGGGCTGGGGCCTTGCAGGGACAGGGGCCTGGGGTGCAGCTTTCAGGAAAGCACGGCCTGTCTGTGCAGCCGGGGCGAGGAAGCGAGACTTCCCCAGCTCTCGGAGCCCGCAGGAAGCCGGGTTCCTGCGTCCCGACCGGTCACGCGGCTCCCATTGTCAGCTCACCGCGCAGGTGTGTGGGTCCCCTTCCTGCCCCTCACCCCTCCCCTCCCCCCCAAAGGCGAAGGGAGAGCCCTCTTACCCTGCTCCGAGGGAGCACGCCGTCCCTCTCATTCGTTCATACTTTGCAGTTTGTAAACCCTTCCTGCACGGACTCCATTTGAACATGGGAGTCACACTGCCTGGGCTTCATGGCTGCCTCCGCCCTTCACTGGCCATTGGACTTGGAGGAACTCGGGTCCACTGGCTTCCCTTCTCTCTCTCTCTCTCTCTCTCTCTCTTTTTTTTTAAATATATTTTATTGATTTTTTACAGAGAGGAATAGAGAGTTAGAAACATCAATGAGAGAGAATCACGGACCAGCTGCCTCTTGCACACCCCCTACTGGGGATATGCCTGCAACTAAGGTACATGCCCTTGACCGGAATCGAACCCGGGACCTTTCAGTCTGCAGGCCAACGTTCTATCCACTGAGCCAAACCGGTTTGGGCTGGCTTCCCTTCTCTCGTAGTTTTCTGGTCCATAAACAGGGCTAATACTTGAACTCCTCTGGGGGTTGGTGAGGATGAAGTGACTGGTGCAGGTACTGGGCTCGGTCCCTGCACCCTGTGAACAGTTATGATTGAGTGAGCCCCTGCTGTGGCTAAGGGGAGCCTCCTTCATAGATGAACTTTCCAGACTCCTCCTGGTGTCAAAGGGGGAAAGAAGCTGAAAGCAACACTTTTTGATGGACAGGTGCACACAGCCCCTCCAGCCCCCCTAGAGATCTTGCTAAAAGGCAGATCCCCATTCAGTCCATGGGGGTGGGCGCTGACTGAGCTCCTGGCCAGCCCCTTGCGGGAGCTGTCACCAGAACACTCTTTTAGCAAGGTCTCAGGGCCGGGCAGTGGTTTGTACACTTGACCGTGAGTCAGAGTCACCGGGAGGTGCCTGTGAAAGTGCATCACCGGGCTCCGCTCCCGGAGTCTCTCCCTCAGTAGGTCTGGGGTGAGTGAGGCCCCGGGACCTGCATTTCTAACAGTTGATGTTGCCGAGGACAGAGAACCTGTTTTAGAGCATCTTGCCCACTACTGTCAAGCTGGGGTGGGGGTGGGCGGTGGCAGAGGCCGCTGAACTGCCAAAGGCAGCTTCCTGTGCTGTGGGAAGAAAGCCGTGGGGGTGAGGGAGCCAACAACTTCCCATTTCTCAGGGGGTTAAGACACCAGAAGGAGCCGAAACCGGCTTGGCTCAGTGGTAGAGCGTCGGCCTGCGGACTGAAGGGTCCCACGTTCGATTCCCATCAGGGGCATGTATATTTGTTGCGGGCACATCCCCGGTAGGGGGTGTGCAAGAGGCTGCTGGTCGATGTTTCTCTTTCATCGACGTTTCTAGCTCTCTATCTCTCCCTTCCTCTCTGTAAAAAATCAATAAAATATATTAAAAAAAAAAAAAAAAAAAAGACACCGGAAGGAAGGGCAAAGGGGCATTGTGGATTCTTTCTCAGCATCCTTTAAAAAATAAGAGAGACAGGCCCTCGCCGGTTTGGCTCAGTGGAAAAAGCGTTGGTCTGTGGACTTAAAGGGTCCCAGGTTCGGTTCTGGTCAAGGGCATGTGCCTTGGTTGTGGGCACATCCCCAGTGAGGGGTGTGCAGGAGGCAGCTGGTCGCTGTTCCTCTCTCATCCATGTTTCTAGCTCTCTATCCCTCTACCTTCCTCTCTGTAAAAAATCAATAAAATATTTAAAAAAAAAATTTTTTAATAAGAGACAGGGAAAGGCTGCTTGGCTGCTTCATGACCAAGGGAACCGAGGCCCTTGAGGTTTACGTCTTCCTATTCGGGGCCCTCTCTTGCCAGACAACCAGGAGAACCGAGGGAAAGCGGAGGGCGGCAGCAAAGCCCGCAAGGAGAGGACGGCATTCACCAAGGAGCAGCTGCGGGAGCTGGAGGCCGAGTTCGCTCACCACAACTACCTGACCCGGCTCCGGAGATACGAGATCGCTGTGAACCTGGATCTGTCCGAGAGGCAGGTGGGAGCTCTGGGGACGCAGCTGCTCTCCTGGGCATCCCTCCTCTCCTGGGCATCCCTCCTCTCCTGGGCATCCCTCCTCTCCTGGGCTCGGCATCCCTCCTCTCCTGGGCATCCCTCCTCTCCTGGGCTCTCTCATCCCTCTCCCTGCATCTTCCCCACGGCTTCTCCCTCTGCCCAGTCCAATGGACCTCAACTGTGGCTTTACCCGACAATCTCCTGGGGAGATTTTAATGACACTGATGGGATGGGATTGGTTTCATGGGACTGGAATAGAGTTCAGGCATCAGAGTTTATTTAAAGGTCCCCCAGGGGGATTCTCACCTGCACCCAGCCTTGGAACCCCTGATCTGGTTATTCTCAAGCTTGAGTGTGACTGGAGTCACCTAGGTGCTCGTTTGAAGCATGTAGATGTGGGAGCTCCGGAGAGTGACTTTGCAGTAATCACGGGGAGGGGGCCTGGGATCTGCATTTCTAATACGTTCTGCAGGTGGTTCCGGTACGGGCTGGTTCCTGGGCACACGCCGAGAAGGACTTCCTAGCCCTTTGTTTTGGGCTTTCCCTTAGAGCATTCCACCCACACCCATGCTCTGACGTGGAGCGAGGTATAATGATGATGATGGTGGTAACAATAGTATTAGATGGCGCTCTGCCAGAGGGCTGGATTTAGAATCAGGAGACTCAGATTCCAATCCTGCCTCTACCACGTCCTAGGCCTGTGACCCTTGGGACATGTCTCCCACCCTTTCTGGGTCTCCATCTCAAGACGGGTCATAACCCCACTCTGGATGCAGCCCAGATGAGAAAATGTGCGAAGCAGCAGCGTTTTCTAAGCTCTATAAATGTGCCCAGAGATGAGGCTGGTTTCCTTTGCTCCCAGACCCTTGGGTAACAGAAGCCAGAGGGAGGGGGTGGTAGCACAGGAGGGGCGGGGCATGTGAAAGGGGGTGGAGCCAAGGACGAGTGACTTGTAGAAACTGTCCCCATGTGTGCCTGGGACTTTTTTTTTTTTTTTTCTTCAATCTGGAGACACAAGACAGGCCTCTGAGCAGATGGGTATGTCCTTCCTTTGGACTCTGTTCTTGGAGCCTTGGGAGGAGTGAGGAGGGACAAGCAGTGCTCAGAGCTGGGTCCCTGGAGCTGCCCCCTGGCTAGCTTGAGTATCTGTTGGAGAGATGGTTGTCCTGACCCGGCTTCTTTACTTCCTTTGTCAGGTCAAAGTGTGGTTCCAGAACCGAAGGATGAAGTGGAAGCGTGTGAAGGGGGGCCAGCCCATCTCCCCTCACGGGCAGGACCCCGAGGATGGGGACTCTGCAGCTTCTCCGAGTTCGGAGTGAGGTTCTCCACGGAGAAAAACAGACTGAGGACTGAGCCCCTACCCAACCCCCCCACCCCAATCCCAATGTCCCCTTTTTCCTCCCACCCCAGGGCAGCCTTCCCATATCTTGCAGTGACTCTTGGACATGAAGCTGCCTAGTGGTTCCTGGGAGCCTTAATATTTTCCAGAAAGTTCTGTCCAGCATTGCTGTCTTAGCTACCCCTTTCCCAGGGCCTTTTCTTCCCATAATCCTTGTGAATCCCCTTCAGCAGCCAGATCAGACCTGAGTGAATCCGGGGGGCAACTCCAGGCTCTCTTGACTGCTGCCCACACCTTCCCCTGCCAGCCTCCTCCTACGTCGGCCAGGCCTCCTCCAGGCCTGAACACCACCTGGCCTGCTGGGGGAGCGGCCTTGGGACCAGCTGGTGACTCATGACAGCTAATGCTTCACAAGAAGGGAAATGACTGACACACACACACACACACACACACACACACCCGAGACCACCTTTCCTTTCTGGGCTCTCTATCTGAGCCTTTGGGGGCCCTGAGTTGTCCCAAAACCCCTGGGAAAATCAGAGTGAGGAGGGTTGAGGGCCGAAACTCAGCTGCTGCGAATCAGAAACCATCCCGGTCTCCAAATGGGTTGGCTGTGAGGTGGGCAAGCTTAGTAGCACTGGCCGGAAGAAGACAGCGGGAAAACATGCCAGTGCGCCTACATCTCTGTACAGGCCCGTTCACACCGGCTTAACTTGAGGGGGGGTGGAGGGAGATGAGAATGGACCCAGGACACCACCTGCTTTTTCAAAATTAATTCAGAAATACAGCTGGGACTGTTGGGCAGCATCCAGACCAATGGAGCAGGTAGACCTTTTAAATCCACAACTTCTGGATTGGAAAACGACCCAGATGCTCACATTGTTGAACTGAGGGCTGGAAAGCGTCCCCCATGTTCTAGGGCTGCCGGGCAAGGGGCTGGGAATGTGGGAGCCGGGAGAGCAGGGCTCCTCAGCGGCAGTGTCCTGTGCTTTCCCAAGACCAACTGCACACGGGGACGACCAAGCAGCCCCCCCCCCCCCCCCCGTTCTCCACAGGATACGTTTGGGCCGCTCCGACGGGTTCCACACAAATGCCACTTTTATGGGAGGAGCTGCTAGTTTATGGGTGTGGACTGCCCATGTCCTCCGGGGTGACAGTCCAGGACTGATGGCCGAACAGCCTGGGACAACGGAAGCCCTCGAGAGAGAGAGACCCCCTGCCTGCCCCAGTGCTCCATCTCCCATGCCAGCTGCTGTCGCAGAGGGAGGTCAGCAAGAGTTGGATCTCCTGTATGTATATTTAATCATTCACTTGTAAAAAAAAAAAAAAAAGAAGAAGAAGAAGAAGAAAAGAAAAAAAGAACCCCACCTCCCCATCCCAAAAGGACCGCTGTTGTGGGAAATGATTGCCAAGTGAGATGGCTGGTTAGAGCATGCGTAATTTCTTTCTCTAAATCATACTTCATCTATTTTCTTAAGATTGCATCAAGGTAACTGTGCGAGGTCAATTCACTTAGTAAGAAAACTCCTGGAAAAATAAAATCAGTAAAACATGCAAAGCTCCCACACCTTTTCCTTGCAGAGCTAAGGATCACAGCTCTGTGTGCAGTCCTCCGATGCTCCTGTGAGGGTGGACCAGGGTCTAGAAGCAACAACAAAGGGGAGAAGATATCTAGAAAAAGGTGCCCCCTTTAGGCTCTTCAGGACTGGGGCCAGGGGTGCAAATGTAATTGTTGCTGTCTCCCCCTTCCCCACCCCCCCCCCAAAAAAAATCAATCTTTCTCCCATACAACTGCACGGTCCTGTTTCCCATTGTAAAATTTTAGCTTTCAACTTCCCTATCCTCTGGCTTATTGAATAGTCAAAAGTTCTGTATACAAAAGATGAACTCTTTTGTTAATAAAGAAATCTCGACCATAAACTAACCATCCCTAATTTTTAAAATCAAAGTTCGGAAGTTTTGTTGTTGTTTTGTTTTGTTTTGTTTTTCAGGGTAAAACAATATACATCGATAGTAATAAAAATAACACAAGAAAAAAAATGTCCCTAATTCTATGTCTTTTTAATTAAAAAAAAATTTGTCTCCCTGAGATGTCAACAATGGACATAATAGGACTGGCTAGAAAGGGGAGGGAAGGAGGGAAGGAGGGAGGGATTTGGGAGAGGAGACCTGGCCAGGAATCAGCTTTGAGGTCACTGGCCAGGTGTGGGCAGTGACCAGAAATGCCATCCTCAGGAGCTGGCAGAGGAAAGCGGATCCACCAAAATCAAGGTGCCACCGAGAAGGGTCAGGTCCAAAGCTAAGCAAAACAGACCTCTTCAAGGACTCTAACACTCCCTCCCAGCTTCACTCCAGTAGCTTCATAGGACATTGGCCTCTCTGGGTTTTCCTCATCGATCCAGAATGTTCCTTTTATGTCTTCCGTGTAGACCCCTTTCTCAATGCTGCTGACCCCCTGCTGGTTCCCAAGATCTTCTCCTTCTGTCCACTGCCTTCCCCCTCTTCAAGTTCTCCCGAGATGACCCCATCTACCTACATTTCCCTGCTGTGGTAAAATATGCATGACATAAAATTTCAGCCGTTGTTCGTGTACAGTTCTGTGCAATTAAGTACTTTCACATTGTTGTGCAACCATTGGCACTTTCCTCTCCTGAATTTTTTCATCTTCCCAAACAAATTCTGTACCCATTAAAAAATAACTCCCTTCCCTTCTCCAAGGTACTTCTCTGCGCCATTGAATCCAGGCTTGTCCCTGTGACCTGCTTTGGCCAATAGAGAGTGAGCAGAAGCGCTGGCTGCTGGCCTACTAGTAAGCAGAAGTTTCAGAGCCATCCTGGTCTCTGCCATTGCTCTCTTCCCTCTGAATGTGGCTGAGAGGGCTTCCACCAATCGCCTGGGCTGCAGAACCCATTGCCTGCATATATGTCAGTGAGGATATAGAAGTCTGTTGTCGTAAGCTACTGGGATTTGGGGATCATTTGTCACCGCTGCACCACCTCATGAAAACTGACGGCTCCAGTGATGACATTGGGATTGGAGTCCTGGCATTCTGGCATCTGGCCAACACTTCCCTATGCCCCATCTGGGAGCGTAAGGTTTCATATTCCTCTGCCTGTTTCCCTGTGCTACCTGGATGGCTACAGGCACCTCAAACTTAAAATATCCGAAGGGGGAGTCTCCATTCCCCCGACGAGGCTGGCTCCTTGGCCTGCATTCTGAATCCTGCATTGTAGTTGGCAACACAATAACCTACCCACTCACTCATACCAGAGCCCTGGGACACATTCTTGATGCTCACCTCTCGGCTTTGCAGAGTCAATCAATTACCTGGCCCTGCCCACTTCACTTCCTGTGTAGATATGTCTCATACCCACTGCGTTCTTGGCCTTTGTACCACCATTGCCTTTGTTCAGACTGCCCACATCTTTCAAAGCTGTGGCTCCTTGAAGTCCAACCCCTAGAGCAGGGGTGGGGAACGTCCGGCCCTCGGGCCGTGTGAGGCCAAGAAATCATTTGGTCTGGCCCTGCCAAGGCATTAGGGGTGAGTTAGTTAAATGTTTGACCAGATATAGCAGGCTAATTTTTTAAGTTGATAATGTTGTATGGCCCAAGAATGGTGGTATAAACATCCAAATGGCCTTTGGCAGAAAAAAAGGTTCCCATCCCTGCTATAGAGCAATGACATGCACGCGCGCGCACACACATACAAATCCATGTCACCCTGATTTAAAACCTATCGGTGACTTCCCATCATCTACAAAATAAAGTCTTAAAACCCTGCACAGGCCTCCAGGGCCCTCAAGCTCTGCCCACTACCTCTGCCTTGACCCACACCACCCGTATCACAAACTCCATTCTCCAGCAATACCAAGTCACCACCTTGCCCTAAGCACGCGCACAGTGATTTCTCTCCTATATTTTGCTGATTCTCCTCTGTTTGGACTCCCAGACCAAGGACTTAGGCATTTTAGGAGCACTTAAAGGGACAATTCGAAAGGAACACAGAGGAATGAGGCTCAATTCATTTTTCAATCATAGGCAATGTCTGACATCAGGCAGCACCATTAGCCAATTTCTAAAATCAATAGAGGGGGGAAAAAATCTCTTTTATATGAGAATTTTAACATCCCCAATAAACAGAGTTAAAAATCCATTGTGGGGAGTCTGATGGTGAAATAAGGGCGCACACACACATCCATCAAGTGTTTTCTGGTTCTTTCGAACACTCGCTGAGCTCCTCCCACGCTTCAGTGTTGCTGTCTGATTGGCCAGTGCAGTTGGAACCAGCTGCTTCTCTAGTTGGTGAAAACCCTCTGCTTTTCCTGGGGAAGCAAGGCCACCCCTCTGTGACTCCCTGATGTGAACCATGACTATACCCAGAAATGGTGGCTCAGAAGGAATCCAAACAACCAAAAATTCCCAGACAGTAACTTGTCGGTAATGGGTTTCTCCATCCTTGAGAGAGCCTTTGGAGAGAGGCAGGGAGGAGAAAGAGATGAAGCAAGTAGGGAATCCATTTCTAAAGGAAAGGGCCTAGGAGTGGTGGGGGAGGGGAGAGATGCTCAGGGCTTCAGAAATCTACCCACCTGCCTGGGCCAGGTGCTGCAGTGGTAGCATATTTTCCTACAGCTCTTGTGTTCAAAGAGAACCAGTGCCAGGCAGAGATCCACTCTTTCCTCTCTGGATCCCCCCAAACCGCCACAGTTCTAGGAACCAGGAGAGCTCATGGTGGGTGGCTTTCTTTCTTCCATTGAGTGAAAACGTTTTCCATTAAGAGTTATAAAATCTCCAGCCAGGCAGAGGGGCCTGTGCCAACTAATCCCTTACAACTACCAATGCGGCAATTGTCAATTGCCTCCTCTCCTGGCCACACAGCACGGGGCTCTCACCAGGTGCCTTCTCTCAGTGGTTGCCTTCTCGGTCCCATTTGCTGCAAACCATTAATAGACACCTTCAGTAATAGCTCAAACCCATGCCCTT